TATATGGTTATTAAAAGAAAGAGATTCATCAAAGTAAACACCAAGGTTTTTAACAGAATGTGAAGGAAATATAGTGCAAGACTTAAAGGAAAGGGAAGAAATATTAATTTTAGATCGAAAGTGTTTAGTGCAGTAAATTATGAATTCAGTTTTAGTATGATTAAGCCGTAGCATGTTGTGAGAAAGCCAGGATGATATTTTACAAAGACAATCTTCAAGTCGAGCAGTAATTTCATTTGATTCTGAGGGATTAAAATCAATATAAATTTGTAAGTCATCAGCGTATAAATGATATTGTAAATTAAGATTTTTTATTATATCAGTAAGGAGGTAAAAAAGAAGGGGACCCAGTGTCAGAAACTTTGTAATAAACTGAAAGACGTTGTAAAAGAATTTGGTGATCGACTGTGTCAAATGCTGATGAAAGATTTCTTTATTATGCTTTTTATATTATTTTACATATATGTATAGATGTGTGCATGTGTGTATATGTATTTATATATATGTATACATATATATACATATACATATATATATATATATTTACATATACATATATATATATTTACATATACATATATATACATATATATATATATATATTTATATACATACATATATATATTTACATATACATATATATAAATATATATATTTTCATATACATATATATATATTTACATATACATATATATATATATATATATATAGATTAAAAGGCAAAATACTGGAAAACAACAATGCTGTGGGAAACAATGGCTGGATCTCAGTAGAGATACAAAAATGATAAGCAACAGCTAAAAAGTAAACGTAAGTAAACAGCCAGAAATAGAACCAGAGCTTTCGGACAACACTAGTCCTTCCTCAGTGGCGAGTGAGTGATATATATATATATTTACATATACATATATATATATATATATTTACATATACATATATATATATATTTACATATATATATTTACATATACATATATATATATATATTTACATATACATATATATATATATACATTTACATATACATATATTTACATATACATATATATATTTACATATACATACATACAATATCATTACTAATTAATTAGACTTTCCTAATTTGAGCGGATTAATTTATAGCGACATAACTGATCATCTCCCTGTTTTTAATATTTCGTATTTTTCACGTGCTGTAAGTGGCTCAAATAAGAAAGAGAGTTTTAAATTTAGAAAAATTAATTCCACCACCTTAGAAAATTTCCGTCACGACGTGTCCACTCAATAGTGGTCTGAAGTCATAAGTAGTCAAGACCCTGATAAAGCATATTCTAATTTTGTAACCACATTAAAGAAAATTTACGATAAACATTTTCCTCTACTGAATTCTACCAAAAAGCCGAGTAAGATTAAACTATGAATGTCAGATGGTCTGCTGAAATCAATAAAGTATAAACAGAAGTTATATGCTAAATTTCTTCATTGCCCCTCTACTAAAAATGATAGAGCTTACAAAGAATTCTGCAATAAATTAAACTATATTATTAAAAATACAAAAAAAATATTTCCAAAATACATTTCTAAAACATAAAAAAGATATCAAGGCAACTTGGAAAACCATTAATTCTTTAATCAATAAAACAAGTAGGGAACAATCCAATACCTCCTTTTACTGTGATGAAGAATTCACCAATGATCCAGATATAATTTCTAATGCTTTTAACAAATTTTTTGTCGAAATTGGACCCTCCCTTTCAAACAAAATTCCCAATGTTAACAACTCATTTAAAGAATTTCTTCCTAGCCCAACCCATAACACTATGTTTCTTGCCCCAGTTGATGAGGCTGAAGTGATTAAAATACCTGCCTCTTTTAAAACCATCAAATCCCCAGGTATTGATGATTTCCATACTAAGGCCATCAAATATATTGCTAATTTCATCTCTCGTCCATTATGTCATATATTTAATATTGCATTAACTAACGGTGTGTTCCCAGACAAGATGAAGTTAGCACGCGTCACCCCTATTTATAAATCGGGCATCAAATCTGACCTTTCTAACTATCGACCAATTTCAATACTATCAATTTTTTCGAAGGCCTTGGGTAATTTACAATCGAGTTTTCTCATTTATTTCAAAATATGACATACTTTATGAAAAGCAGTTCGGTTTCAGAAAAGGATATAGTACATCTATGGCCCTTATTGATCTTACTAACAAAATTGTTAATGCATTTGCAATCGCCATCTTGCAATTGGACTTTTTATAGATCTCTCCCAGGCTTTCGACACAATTGATCACAATATTCTCTTATTTAAATTATCTCGCTATGGAATTCGTGGCCCCGCACTTACCCTTCTCAAAAGTTACCTCTCCAACCGGACCCAGTGTACTAAATATTCTACCTCATATCAAATTACAGACCAATCACTTGTGGAGTTCCTCAAGGTTCTTTACTGGGTCCACTCCTTTTCATTTTGCACATCAATGATATCCACCAATCCTCTAACTTACTTATTTTCTTCCTTTATGCTGATGACACCACTGTTTTTTTATTCTGACCATGATATCCAATCATTATTTGATACTGTCAACTCCAATCTGATTCCTTGTCCCAATACTTTGTTGCTAATAAACTTTCAATTAACCATAACAAATGTAACTTCATCTTGTTTGGGACCCCACAAAAGTTAAAATGTATTGATACCACTCCTTTTAAAATTTTTATCGATAATTATGACAACCCTCTGTTCAGTCAGCTAAGTGGCCTATCATGGAAAAAACATATCCACGAAATTGAAAACAAAATTTAAAAAAGCCTTGGTATTATTTTTAGATTATCCCCATTTGTACGCCCTAATATTCTTCGTATTCTTTACTGCTCTTTAATCCTTCCTTATTTGAGCTACTGCAACATTGTTTGGGGCAATACTTATTTATCCAATATTAACAGACTTCAAGTTCTCCACAAAAAAAGGCTATTAGACTTATATCTGGCGCTCCACCACGGTCTCACTCCTCTCCCCTGTTCTCCAATTTAAACCTTCTCAAACTCCCTGATAATAACCATATTCAACAAGGTACTTTCTTATACACTGCCATTAATTCTATTCTCCCTAACCATCTATGTAATATGTTTACCCTAAATCACTCCATTCACAATTATCATACTCGATCCAGAAATGATATTCACATACCTAATCATAACACCAACTATTTTTAACACAATATTAGATACACTGGAATAATTTACCATCCTCAATTATGAACTCAGATTCCATGAAGTCTTTTACCAATAAACTCAGGAATCACCTTGTCTCGCAATACAAAAATTAATTTAATCGTGACTCGTCTTGCTTGTGTGTGTTTGTGTTGTGTGTTTGTTTGTTTGTTTGTTTGTTTGTTTGTTTTATCTCTGTGTGTTTTTGTGATTTTGTGTTCAGGCCTGCCCAATACAAGATTTTTTTTTTATAAATCTTCTCGGGCATGTGCCCTCTGCCTTTTGATTTTGTTTCACAAACCTATCGTTTTTAATGAACTCTGTTATTCAATTGCAAATGGAAGAAAATAAATGTATTTTTGAATTGAATTGAATCTGTCTCTTATACACATCTAGATGTGTATAAGAGACAGTATATATAGCTAGGTAGTTTAGTTTAGCTTTTAAGGGTTTCACATGTAGAGCAATTGGTGGGATACCCTTATCCACCTATCTTGAAAAAGAGTGATATGTAAAAAGTATGTTTATTGTGACTGATTTGTGGAATAAAGAATTGAATTGAATTGAACAATCGCCTGATACAGCATACAATAAATTTCCAGACAAAATTACTAACGCATATAATACATGTTTTCCATTACAATCAAATCGTGGAAAATTAAAACCCAATCGTGTTCCTCGTAACTGGATAACACAAACTATTCTAAAATCTATAGGCCTAAATCGTAAAAATAAACTTTACAAAAAGTATATTTCAGAACCAACTTTTATTTTTTAACTTTTTTAAATAAATATAAACTTTCCCGTTACCATAATACATTAACCACTCTGATTAGATATGCCAAAAAAGATTTATTTTACAGAAGAATTGAATAGAAATAAAAATAACCTTTAAAACTTGGAATATCCTATATGATCTTCCGGGTCGAACAAGAAAATAAATATAAAAACATAAATATGAAAATTAACGCCATCGATTGTTCTGACCCTAATTTAATTTCTAATAGTTTCAATAATATTGTTTCCGTAATGTCGGTACTGATTTAGCTTCAGGAATTTCTATAATCGATAAAGACGGTTTTAAATATTATTTAAATAACATATCACCACCCATGAGCTCTGTATTCCTTTCACCAACTGATTGTAGATGAAATCAATACTTGTGAATTATTGAATTCTAAATCCAGTCCGCCAGGATACGATGACTTAAAATTAGGTATCATAAAAAAATATCATCCATTTCTTAGCAGCCCCTCTAACGCATAGGCCTATTTTTAATGCGTCCATTTTCTTTGATATTTTTCTATCTTAGTTAAAAATATCAAAGGTAGTCCCCATTTACAAATCTGGTGCGCATAACCTTATGAGCAATTATGATTGATGTAACATTCAGTTGTAAATTTGTGTTTGTGGGACAAATGTGCTATTCCTACTTCCCATCATCTTTTTCTTCCATTCTAGTACAGACCACCTGTCGGTGTATTTTCGTACTGAATGAGGGTAGGGGCTGTGAGATGGGACCAGTACACCGGGGTAACCCCCTACCGATCGTCTCGAAAGATGTAATGGATACAGTAGTGCAAATGAGTCAATTATGTTACGTTCGAAACAAGCCGATATTATGGCTGTAGATTTCGGATCCAGACCTTAACTGGTCAGCCATTCGATTAGCCCATCACTTTGGAATAACATGTTCTGATTACTATGTGTAACATTTCCAGACAGGTTCATTGTCACTTTACTATTTTACAAAAAAAAGAACTCATATCAAAAATTAAATAAAGCAGATATTCATATAATTCAGTAGTTGAATTTAAAGTATGTTGTTTATTCAAAAAGTATTTCAAGGTGTGAAAGTTGATAGCCATAAACCCAAGATAAACAATATTTAAAATTCTTATTATTTCTACATTTTCAGTCAAACCTAGGCAGTACAGTATATTGCACCAATGAAGCTTTCTAGTTGATAGCATTATAGGCAATTCATGATACACTATTAACAAATCAAAAAACTCTAAGAAATGACGAATCTGATTAGCCCTTAAAATAAATTTAAAAAAAAAACATTTAATGTACTGTTTCACTTTGAATAGTAGGGCTAAGTCCCAACAAAACAACAGCACAAACACCTGAACACATGCATTTAGGACAGCATGTGATACTATCCATATAGCAAATACTATCCCTGTTCTGATTGGGGATCAATTGAATGAATACTAACCTAGGCTGCTCTTACAGGCTTCAACAATAGCAGTGACGCAACAGCTATGAGGTTACTGGCTAAAGCCATGACCCAGATCATAAGGGTGCCCCGGAACATTCAGCAATACTGTATTCTATTTTGCCTGAAATCAACCTTTCAAAGTATCAGGACATGTAATAAAACATTAACATACAAGCCTAAGACATAAAAAAAAATGACAAGAAGTGTGACTTCCCCAGGGTAGTAGGGCCTCAGGCCTCTTGGTTACGCCACTGAACAATAGTACTACTATTTGGAATGAATTTGATAATTGCACTCTCTACCTAATTAACATTACACATACTGTACCATTGAACAATATTTCATAAAGTATTAAATAATTGCTATCATAAATTCTACATTACAAAAGTAGGTACAACCATTTGGAGGGATTCATTTTCAGTTAGCAAATAGGCCTCAGGCACATAATGTAAAAAGTTCAATATAATCATCATCTCTATATTTCAAAAGGAATATTGCTTTTTATCAGGCAACAACAGGTGACAGAACAGCTGTGGTAATCATGGCTGTCAACCATGGTCAATGGTCTAAATCCCACACCAGTGATAGCCCTTGGGGGAGGGTCAGGCATTATCAGGGAGAGATGGTCCTTCCAAGAAGAACACAATACATCGAATTAAAGTTTTTTTTTATGTATTTTGGGGTTGGTACATATTTTCGAAGCCTTTCAACCCTTTAATTGTCAGAGCTTTAGGTGCCTTGCCACCAGCACTATCATCAGAGGATTTGGGGCCCATCAGTAATGCCATCTTCAAACCCCTCCCTCCCTTTTTTGATCAAATATTGCCGCTACCACAGTCCCACACCGAATCAAATCCTTGGGCAAGGCACTTATAACTGATACTGATTCATACACCCCATTGTGTATGATTGGTAAAGGCCAATTCAGATGTTGTACGACGGGGGCAGTCACGTCATAGAATGCCAAAACATGTTTAATATTTCTCAGGACGGCTTAAGACTGTCCCCCAACGATAAATTGTGTTGGGCTGCGTAGTATGACACTGTCTGTACATTCTTTTATTTGAAACTGAAGAATGATAAATACACAACCCCAAAAATACAGTATACTGCCATGTTTAAATTTCTCAATTCATACTCCTTTAATATAATAATGATGATGAAGATGACGACGACAAAAATATATTAAACTGGTGGTTCATTTTTTCACCCAAACATCTATTTCACGGAGCAATACCCAATTAGGTTGACTTCCAGTTATCAAGACCTTCAGACACGCCACATCAGATTTGATTCCATCATCAATGTCCTGCACATCGATTTTGCCATTGTTAAAAACCGCCAGCTCTACCTCATCTTGGCATGTGGGTGGGGAATTCTCATTAAATTTTAACACCTGCCTCCCGGCTGTTAAAAGTGCGCTGTATAGAATATCGTGCGGATGACCAGATGATCCAGTTTCAAATACAACACGTTTCAATCGCACAGCTTCATGAAAAATAACCAGGATAACATCACCGACTCTTGGCACGCGTCCCCAAAAATACCCAGGATCATTCGTGTAGGCTAAATTTGGTGCATACATACTAAAGGTGGAAATGCTACTGTAGACTTCAGCAGGGGGGTTATCTGCAAAGTGTGTGCGGCCATTTTCTTCAAAGAATCGGTCTTTCAATGGTTGTTCTTTTTCATGCAATGAGGAAAAAGTTCCAACATGCTGAAAAAGCGATGGAACACGAAGTAAGGTTTTCTTCTGTCCATTGAGTACATTGAAATATTTAAGCAAGTAGTCTATTGGCTGGTCTTGAAAAAATATGAGTACAAAGTCCATGAACCGCTTCAAATCTGTCGATCTAAAGACTTTCCCAATGAATCCCAGCTCAGAAAACTCCAAAGTACTCCAGTTCTCATTCATGTTCAGTACTATATATTCTTGAATTGATTGCACAAATTTCGGGCTAGCCCTTACATCATCTTCTAGCTGCATGTAATAGTCAGTTAAGTTGTAGCAGTACTGGTAAAGAAATGCGTAATCTAAAACCTGTTTAGTTCTCCATATTACACGTTTTTCACTATCCCCATAATTGTGTTTAAGATTTTGGAAAGTGGGGTAGTAGCCATTTGGAGCCTGGATGACTCGGATTAAACCTGAATCCACAAAATTGTAGAATCTTTTTCCAATTTGTTGGGAAACTTCCTGATTATAGGTAGCATTAAAATCGGCAGTAAAGACAACAATTATTATCATCTTTTTATCTTCTTCGGATGTATTGTCTATGATTGACTGTAGTGTTTCCAGGATGTAGAAGCCTTTCTCACGATGTATAGTAGGAATACCAATTGTTAAAAAACCTAGAAATACAAAAATCAAGTTTATTAAACTATTCTTAAGGATTTTGTAGGAAGACTTATGAATGCAGTGTCAGTCAATCTTAACAAATGACTAATCAGAACATTGCTAAGATTATGCACTTGTCCCACAAAGGTCAAACCTTCCCCCACCTCCACCAACTCAGGCATATAAATACTAAAGTATTATTAAGCACGGAAGAAAGAAATAGTTGGAAAAGCGACGACATTCAAAGAATTTTTTAACACCAACACTAAACTGATAAAAACTTCCCAACATCTTTGTTACCAACCGTCTCACATCATACGGGACAGTCCCGTATTTCAAAGTGATTTTTGATGAAGCCTGCATTTTGCAGAAATACATGCATGATCACAAATTTGTCAAACATTTGGCACAAGTCTATAGGTGATAACAAATTATCACAAATTCAGGGGAAAATGTATTTTAAAGAAATTGGTTTATTAAAAATATAGAAATGGTCATGCAGTAACTTGAGTCATTAGAAGTTTTCATTGTCTCGTTTGACAAAGACAATTTCTCTATCTTGACCATAACATCCCAGCCAACTATGCACTTAGTAGAATCTAGCAGGCACACGTGGTCTTGCAAATTCATTGTCACAACTAACATTGATTATGTTACTGATACCCCGAGTCCACCGGGGCTCCACCCCGGACCCCGGCGGGGGCCCTTGCGGCCCCTGGCCAACTGGTGTAGCCACGCATTTAAAATCTTTCAGGTTGGTAACTATGCAACATACCTTCTGAATTTAGATGTTCACCTTTGACATTCGGAAGCATTCTTGCCTGCCATTTAACCTGTTGAAAAGAAATTTAATCTAAGTGATGCAATTATTTTAAATGTTTTACAAAATAAGCAGAAAACAATGAACAAATTTAGTAAAAGGCAGGCAAATAAATATATAAATATTGCTTAAATATTTATAAACCTAAGTTTTATCTATGTTAACTACTATTTATACTAACATATAATAATACAAAATGCTTAATAACAAAAATATTATTATGAGTATATTCAAATAATAATCAAATGTTAATAAGAATACGATTATTAGATCCAATTTAACAATTACACTGATGGCTAAGATGATACTATAACAGTAACAATAACAATAATAATAACAAAAGCACTCAGTAGAGAGCATAATTCCACCCATAGCAAATCCCTTTCTATAAAATAAATCTCCCAAAATATGTTCCTAATTTACCTTAACCACCACCACCACCACCACTACCCCAACTCACACCACTCCTCTTCAAAAACACACAGTAACTTGCCCAAACACTTTTTTATTTCAAAGAGGGGTATATTTCCACTTTATGTCTGGGTTTCGTGGACTCATTTTTTAGAGTGGACACTTTCAGATTTTGTAAGTCGTGGCACTGTTGGCCTACTTTTAACTACACATGTTACGTTTTGAACACAGAATTCAAGCAAACATATAGTATTGATGCATTATATTTTCAACTACTGACACTGTAAAAAATATGACAACCCACCTACTTTCCAACCACCACCTATTTAAAAAAATAATAAACTAACCCGGCCAACTGGAAACACCTTTTACTGCATTAGTTGTATACCTGCCAATTCTTCTGGTTAAAAACACTGGAACGCTTTACTCTTGTTACCAAAAAAATACATGCCAATTATTGGTGTTGAAATGGAAATATTATGCAATTAGTCAAATTAATATAATAGAAATATGGGATATTTGTTTTTAGCATCACATGTTTAAATATAAAGATTTGCATTAAAAAAATTGCCAATCAATTCCCAAAAAAAGCGAAGTTAGTACACACTAAACGCTGTACACATTTACTGTAATTGCATTAACTTGAATATTCATTATATAGTTATTGTATCTGCCTATGGAGGATAAATATATTCTTTAAATGGTCCTCATAGAGTATCCACACCCTACTTCAGATCATCACCAAAATTTTAATATTTCTTCATTGATATATGACAAACTATTCTGGAAAGTTTCATTTTGAGTGATTTATGTATCGGACCTAATGCCCCTCAAATCCACACCCAAATTTGGATTGTCACCGAACTTGGATAATCTTCCTTGTAAATTGATTACAATTTCACGAAAGTTCCATTCAGATCAGTTGATTATTTAAAATATCTGGTCTGGGGCATTTTCTTCTGAATGGTCCTCATATCCACACCCTACTCCAGATCGTCACCAAAACTTTAATAACCTCATCATTGGTTCGTTCATTCAACACTCCCCATAACTTTCATTTGGATCTGTGCAGCCGTTTTTGAGATATTTTGAACACAACACACACACACAACTGAAAACATACACTATACTGTATCTCCTGGCGGAGATAATAATAATAATGGATCATGGTGGTCATGGTTATAAGGATGATGATGATGCTAAGATACTGATATATATATTTAGTTAGCAATCAATTTATTGTAAAATATTGTAGCAATATCAAAACTAGACTAAAAATAATGACCACAAAAACATACAATATTACAATCACCATAACAAATATCACATGACTTTATATTTTCATTGCCGATTTTTTTAGGTTCAGTACAGACTCCAAAAGTATGCATTTTCTTTTAGTTTTATAGCGTATGCAGATTTTATAAGACGATATAACATGTTCATACCTGACTATCCCTGAAGATATCGTCATTTGGAATCTTGGACGATTCTGAAAAACAAGGCTGCTTACCTGCAAATACAATAAATACAAAAACCATGATTGTAAAAAGGAATTTGATTTTTTTGATTATCTGAGTGCTATACTAAATCATCAATCATCAATACATCCAATGTGTGGGCGCACATTATATCACCACCACTAGGACCTGCCACTACAAAGTATACAGGTCTCCCTCCAATGAAAGACCCCTCAAATTAAGAACCATCTTTAATTAAAGACAACTGTTCTATGGTCCCAAATAAACAAATGTCTTAAAATCTTTATTATTCTAATGAGTGACCAAAGCTGCTAAAAACCATGGAAACCCCAGTCCGAAAACCTGTATTTTAAAATTAATTATATCATCATTATTTATTTATTGTCTATTTGAATTCACACTGACAAAAAAAGCTGCAGCAGGACAGTAGCCAGTGATGGAGAGGGCAAACAAGTGCAAAGCACCACTAAAAACAGCCCAAACCGTAAAATTGCACTACCCATAATAACCATTATCAGTCAAAAAATAAACTATAAAATAAATAACGCTGTGGCTAGAAATACGGTACCATATTTCTACTTCCATTTTCTAAAGGTACGGTAAATAGCATTACGTCACCATCAACATGAAGTTTTCAACCCCCAAAATCTCATCCCAAGTTTTATTCCAAGAAGCCTAGGTTATAAACAGTACTCAAAATTACCAAACTTTACAATATGCCGACGGCGACCAAAATATCATACACTTTGAATACACATGCAACTGTACATTTACCCAACTTTACGCAGACTTGGTCGCTGTTATTCCCCCAATCGTAAACATCGTTCTGCCGCCAAAATCCATCGATCAAGAGAATGTTTCCCTAATCACGCGATTATTAGTGTCAAATTTTCCAAATATAATTTTGTTGCAGACTCATTTAAAGCAGTGCTACGGACCAGTATATAAAATGCTAGTAGGCCTTATTAACAGTTTTACAGTATTCAGTTTTTTAGTAGATTAGACCAAAGACTGAGTAGTATGTCAATTCTCTTATAAATCGAAAAGGCTAAGCAAGGCCTGGGCCTACGTCAAAAGTTTGGTCTTGAGGATTCAGGCATTGCTTGATATGGCTATAGTGCCCCTAAAATCCTATCCCATGTTTTAGTCCAAGAAGCCTAGGTTATAATAGTGAATATGCAGTATTTAAATTTACCTATTTTATTTTGTCATATAAATATATTAGACCAAAGACTGAGTATTATGTCAACTCTCTTATTAAGCGAAGAGGCTAAGCAAGGCATGGGCCTGCATCAAAAGTTTGGTCCAGTGAGGATTCAGGCATTGCTTGATATGGCTATAGATAAATGATATGACTCTTATTACTGAGTGAAACCCTTATGCCTATTTATCAATCACAGTATTATAAGAAAAATTTTTAGTTTAGTTTTTTTAGTTTTAATTTGGAATCACTTTTATTACAGTGGCACACATCCAAAATGGTGGTGCATCCAAAGAGAAAAATCAACAGAAAATAACTTAACTACGAAAGTCATTACAGAACTAAAGGTTCTAGGGGCTAATCCAGCATATTCTTTGCTAGTCACACCACTGACACTGTGTGCGATCTGCAATGCCAATGCCGCTCTTAAACATTAACGTCACACACATCTCGACACTTTATTGGGTGATGGTGACGTAATGCCATTTACCGTCCTTTAGCAAATGGAGGTAGAAATATGGTACTGTATCTCTAGCAATGGCGAATAAATAATATTAACAACACATCTCTTACTCATCCAGTTAACGGTCCTAATAAGCCAGGTGTTGAAAAGAAACATCATGACCAGTAACATCACTAATATTTGGTTCCATCTTCTTCCAGCTGGCATCGTAAAACTACAATTGATGATCTATGCTAACACACTACCATCTCTACACATCATAATGTGCCAACCTAAACATAAATAACTGTTCTTCCTTCAAGTTGTATCTGTGGAGAAATGATAAAGTGCACAATAATGCAAAAGAAACTGCTGAAAAAATATTATTACACCATTGTTTCACTTTACATCCTTTACATACATAACTAAATACAGTGGTTCCACTTTCATATTGATGATTGAATTAAGTGATAAATATTTTATTTCGCACAAAGAAATGCATGATGAGAAAATCTGTGCATAGTTTGTATTAATATTAAAAGTCATCAGTTTCGAAATTGCAAAATGAGCAAGCTTAAAGATTTAAAGTATCCTAAGCAAAAATGGATTTCTTCATCACTTTCATGAAGCCAGAATACAGGCCCAGGTCTATAGACTGATGACAAAAGTTTGTGGATTTTAATATTTTAAGTTACGTCAATATTATACACTGCCATTATTGTTTCAATATAGGCCTTTTTCACGAAGCGGTAGACATCGTGAAGTGATGACAAACATTGCGAATCAGCGGTGCATAACCAACAGAAATAAGCTTTTGGGCTGATTTTCTGACATCATGTTATTTAAAAAATCATAACTCCATAACGGGGCGTCGTATCCAACAAATTTTCCAGCAAAATGTTCTTAAAAGACTAGTCTACACCATTATATGATTGAAAAAAATTGAAAAATGTTTTTGACCTCTGAAATCAAGATGGAAAAAGAAAAGCCTATCTAAGTAGTGTATTAAAATAGGTATGCATTACAGTGCAGTAGTACTAGTAATACTCTGGACTAGCATTGTTTTATTTACCATATGAGAGTTTCCTGTGTTAAAAACATGACTTACTATACTATACTTCTTTATAAAACATAACTTGTACTTTATAATAAGAGAAATCTGTATATTATCGGTACCTGGAACAGACGGAGACCTAAAGACAGAGTTTTTTTAGCCGGAATGCAGTACCCAGCTATAGAACACTATCCATGCTCAGCATGGAGTAACGCCTACGCGTTCTCGTACGAAAATCCGCAAGCCACCGACCCTATGTGTATAATAATTTTGATAAACAATCATAATTCTCTGTACTATCTACTAAACATTTAACGATCAATGAACGTCCTTGTGTTGTGGTCATGTTAGACTGTTATATTTTTCAAGAAGATCATTCAGCAAACAACATAAAACAAAATTCCCACGTCGGTGCATGCATAAAACGTATAATTTCCTTATAACTTCCTTATGATTTAGGCCTAAGGAAATATAGGTGACAAAGTGTTCTTCCTTATGTTGTGGTCATATTAGAATATAATATCATTAAAGACCATTCAACAAACAACATGAAACATATATCAAACTTTTAGGTTAAAATTTCCGCTTCCAAACATGCATATAATGTAATTTTTTAGATATATGATATTTTCATGACAGTCGAGAATGTACTGATTATATAACTTATAGATAATTACTGTTGTCCGATTGTGTGCATTGAAAATGTGATGACGAATTCGGGATACGGGCCACGGTTGACACTCATATCAAAGGGCCTGTTAATTAACCTTGCACAGGAGCCTGTCGTCACCTGCTACAATGCCTTCTCCTCCTTATCATCATCATCCCATCATTAACATCATCATCGCAATTATTAATTGTCCATGCTAAAATGGGGGAAATCTTTTAATTCAGTGTGTATTCATTCATCAATAAAAGTCTCGTAATGCACGCAAGTGCATTTCTCCGCATCTAGAAAAATCAAAACTCTACGAAGCTAGGAGAACCTCATGACTACTACCACGCCCCTACCAAGTCTAAAATAATCTTCCAGCGACGGAACAACTGAGCAAACATTACGTTTTCTTCCCATGACCCCGCCCACTCAGGGAACCCATTATGTGCGATAGTCAGGGTAAAGCTCGATTTCCATATAATCGCTCACCCTATCGGCAACACTCACCGACAGTTATCGGGAAGGTCGAACCTGGTTCTACTTTTCCGAATTCGTTGCAGACGCAGAAGAATCAGGGTACATTGCTAGCTGCCCTGCGCAAAGGCACCCTGATTCGTCTGTGAACCACAACTGACATGACTGTCGGCGATAGGGTGAACGATTCTTGGAAACCGAGCTAAGACTCTGGATCAACGCCTGAGAGGCCACTATTCTCAAAAATGTCTATTCCCTCAGCCCCAACCATGGTGGGGGCAGTGAGGTGGACCCTCACGCACCCCCTACCGCCAGATCCTCCGCCCCAGGGGTGTCTAAAACATAACTTGTACTTTATAATAAGAGAAATCTGTATATTATCGGTACCTGGAACAGACCGAGACCTAAAGACAGAGTTTTTTTAGCCGGAATGTAGTACCCAGCTATAGAACACTATCCATGCTCAGCATGGAGTAACGCCTACGCGTTCTCGTACGAAAATCCACAGGCCACCGACCCTATGTGTATAATGATTTTAATAAACAATCATAATTCTCTGTACTATCTACTAAACATTTAACGATCAATGAACGTCCTTGTGTTGTGGTCATATTAGACTGTTATATTTTTCAAGAAGATCATTCAGCAAACAACATAAAACAAAATTCCCACGTCGGTGCATGCATAAAAATTATAATTTCCTTATAACTTCCTTATGATTTAGGCCTAAGGAAATATAGGTGACAAAGTGTTCTTCCTCATGTTGTGGTCATATTAGAATATAATATCATTAAAGACCATTCAACAAACAACATGAAACATATATCAAACTTTTAGGTTAAAATTTCCGCTTCCAAGCATGCATATAATGTAATTTTTTAGATATATGATATTTTCATGACAGTCGAGAATGCTAAAATGGGGGAAATCTTTTAATTCAGTGTGTATTCATTCATCAATAAAAGTCTCGTAATGCACAAGTGCATTTCTCCGCATCTAGAAAAATCAAAACTCTACGAAGCTAGGAGAACCTCATGACTACTACCACGCCCCACCAAGTCTAAAATAACATTACGTTTTCTTCCCATGACCCCGCCCACTCAGGGAACCCATTATGTGCGATAGTCAGGGTAAAGCTCGATTTCCATATAATCGCTCACCCTATCGGCGGCAGTCACCGACAGTTATCGGAAAAGGTCGAACCTGGTTCAACTTTTCCGAATGCGTTGTAGACGCAGAAGAATCAGGGTACATTGCTAGCTGCCCTGCGCAAAGGCACCCCGATTCCTCTGTGAACCACAACTGACATGATTGTCGGCGATAGGGTGAGCGATTCTTTGCGATGCCCGTGAGGGGAGACGGAGAGGGGGAGCATAGCTCCCGTCGAGAGGAAGTCAATAATTATTTGTAGAGGAACACTGCTTTGAAAAAGCACCATCTTTTACCACCCACTACTGTGGCTAACTTGATTTATATTCTGTGCAACCATTTGTTTCTAGCCGTACCTATTGTGTAATGGAGTGTATCTGGTGGTATTTGAATCTGTTCAACCATGAAGCCTCCGTGGTCCTGTCTCTTATACACATCTGTACCCAGCTATAGAACACTATCCATGCTCAGCATGGAGTAACGCCTACGCGTTCTCGTACGAAAATCCGCAAGCCACCGACCCTATGTGTATAATAATTTTGATAAACAATCATAATTCTCTGTACTATCTACTAAACATTTAACGATCAATGAACGTCCTTGTGTTGTGGTCATGTTAGACTGTTATATTTTTCAAGAAGATCATTCAGCAAACAACATAAAACAAAATTCCCACGTCGGTGCATGCATAAAAATTATAATTTCCTTATAACTTCCTTATGATTTAGGCCTAAGGAAATATAGGTGACAAAGTGTTCTTCCTCATGTTGTGGTCATATTAGAATATAATATCATTAAAGACCATTCAACAAACAACATGAAACATATATCAAACTTTTAGGTTAAAATTTCCGCTTCCAAGCATGCATATAATGTAATTTTTTAGATATATGATATTTTCATGACAGTCGAGAATGTACTGATTATATAACTTATAGA